AATAAAAGTGTGGCATAACAATTTCAGAAATGCATTCTACGGAAGTACGCCCAGATTTCCATTCTAAATTGATTTCTTTCAGTTTTCCAATAAAGGTGTTTGAAGCTTATCTGATCTTCTAAATTCTTATTTTATTTTAGACCATATATGGTCCAAACTTTCTAGATCTAATTCAAATACCTGTTTCTTACTTAAGATTCATAACCTAGATAGGATGTATTTTAATTTTAAAACAAGTTTAGGGAACGGAAGAAAATTACCAAATTGCTGGTTTCATACATTTTTAACCTGCCTTTAGACTATACAAAATTTCGTTATCAATTTTCGTTTTCAGTCCGATTCGAAATGGAAATAAAAATTAATAATAAAAAACAACTTTCTTTAATGTCATACAACAGGATTTAACACAATTTATCAATCGTCAGACAATAAACCAAACAATACTAGCCCTAAACTCTTTTCGGGCCTAGCGGAATCTAGTTTTAAAATACTTGTTTTCTCATTTTATGTCCGTAAAAATTGTGAAAAGTGTAATTTCATATAAGGCAAGTTAGTTCAATATATATGAAACACATACGCTTTATATGTGTAATGCTTTCCCGGTTATAATTAAAATTAAGTAAACGTGTATGAGTTTCTACTTTCTACAGTGCTTTTGTAAAAAAAATTTAAAGTAACGTAGATTTTTAACATATTGGTTTAATTTTATCTAATCTATAACTAACTGGAGTTAGTTACAAACTTTAAAAATGTATTAAAATAAACTTAAATAATCAATTTGAAAAGAAATCGATTAAGCATTGGCTACCTTTAAGCTATTGAACACCCAGTGTCGTTGATAGCATTACAAAAAAAGTATCTAAATTCATCACTGTGTAATATAATGGTCGACGTGGGTTTTGTTAATAGTTCACCTTTCTGAGTAGCATTGTATAATGCCTTTATATTATATTATCTAATAAATTAAATAAAACGGGAATATTCTTAAATAACACTACGGGGGAAATATATAGCCGTCAATACTAGTACCGGTTGCCATGGAAACCGCAAAAAGGTGTGAAAACTAATACCAATTCAAACGTCTATAACTTTGTTACCATAAGAAATTTAAAAAAGCGGATGAAAGATTTAGATTTCTTAAACCAAACTACACATTTTTACGTTTGTTCATTGCGATAGCTCGTACTTAATTTTTAATACAAATTTGTACGTACATTTATGTACAAATCTTAGTGGGTGGTGCCACATAAATATCAATATTTTCTAAAGTATTGTACAATAGTAGTTTTGTAGATGGTATAATGCTAAATGCACGTGGAATGTTTCAGTTTTGTATTACAAAGGGTTCCAAAGCCTTAGCGATTTGAATGTTGAATTTTGAGTAGAAATGCAAAGTTGAGAAAACGTGAAAAGAAAGGCGGAAAAAGGCACTGTGCGTTTCCTCTTACAGAACACAGAAAAGGACTTCTATTTTATGTATGGAAGAACCATTTGGCAAAAAAAAAAAAACATAAGCGTTTATTTATGTTGTAAGTTTTAGATAGATTTTTCTGTGTAAGCAGAAAACGTATATACAACAGGTAATGAATTAATGACTATTAAGTCTTACACACCCTATCATTCGATTGTTATTCACAGAACAACTATCATCAAACCAGATTAAGTTTTTCTTGTTAGCCGGTCTTCTCACTTCAATATAATGTTTGCCCCTACTTAAATTGTAGCTTACACACGTTTATTGCCTTATGATAATAGCCTACAACACAACACTGGGTACAACGCTTGAGGCTAGACACGCCCCTCCACCCCGCCCCACCGCTCGATAGTGCGTGAAGAACCGATGAGCCATAGATTATCAATATTCATTCAATCGTGAATAACACATCTGTGTAGAAAGGGTCAACTACAGGACCTAAAAGAATGCATATCAGCTATCCCATCTAGTATTTACCGTAGTTGCTAACAAACCCTACATGGACCGAAGGGCATACACATTAACACATGTGTCGTATTCTGTCCGATGTAAAGCCTGATGAACGCGTTCAAGCCTATCACAGCATGCCGTAACAAGATTATAACCCGACCGTTGGTTGAATGGCGAGAAAGGGATGATATGGATAAAGGAGATGGACAGTACATTCTTCAACCTGATAGACATGTCCATGACGCATTGTTTCAACTTAGTATAAAGCGAAACAGTGCTTAATAGTGTTCCAGTGACAATCAAAAGTACATTTCTACACAAAGTTTCAATTATTAAACTTAATGTTGTATAACTTTAAAACAAGAAATTGAAGAGTATACGCAAATAAAGTAAACAAACGAGACAGGCGATTGTTTTGTTTATCTAGAAACAAGATGGCTGCTTAGCACGCGTGATTAGTTGCAGCATATCGTAGATTATTTTGATTTACTGTACTATTGTATGATTGGTCAAACGTATCAATGAATCTCTTCCCATTCTTTAGTTTTACGCGCATACCCTTATATGGAGTTTGACATCAAATTTTACTTGGTAGAAAACAGTTGGCTTTTTTTTAACTAGCCAAATCTTGTTACAGCGAATAACTGAAATTAACTAAAACTAACCTAACGTAATGTGATACTTTGCCAGGGAAAGTTAAGTCTACAGGAATTTGGTCAGACATTTGTTATCGTCATTAGGAAGATAAGAAATTCAACTGTGGTCAAACGTTCTTTAACGTAGTGATGACATTCTACACCTTTTTGAGGGGAGCCGGACGTTTTCCCGAAAGACACTTGCCCGAATGCCGTTTGCCCGAAGGCCGAATTCCCGAATGGACACTTCGGGCATTTGTCGCATTCGGGCAAGTGTCCATTCGGGCATTTGTCGCATTCGGGCAAGTGTCCATTCGGGCATTTGTCGCATTCGGGCAAGTGTCCATTTGGGCATTTGTCGCATTTGGGCAAGTGTCCATTCGGGAATTCGGCCTTCGGGCAAACGGCATTCGGGCAAGTGTCTTTCGGGAATTTGTCGTAGACCCCTTTTTGAGACACACAACACACTTACACACACACTTACACACACACACACACACTCACACACACAACTGAAATTAACTAAAACAAGTTTAATGTAATGTGATACTTGGTCTGGCCATTGGTATTGTCCTTTCCAAGATAAGAAATCCAACTGTGGTCACATTGATCACCATAAACATTTTAGACAGGATTTGTCTGCTTTTTAAAATAAAAAAAACTGAAATTTTTTTAAAAGAAGATTTAATTATTATTCCCTCCCACTTTTAAAAATAAATACGCTATGAAAATTAATTAATAAACAAAAAACAAAATAATTTATGTTCCAGAAAAAAAATAATTTGATACACATATGTGTTAATTATGTTTGAAATATCACATGGCTTAAATATGACAGCACAAAAACAACACAATACAGGGGAGTTTAACTCTAAACAAAAAATATAACAAAAATATAATATCTAGTCAAGACTGCCTATGAACATTAAAAGCCTTTGATTTTAAAATATTATTTAAAAATTAAATTTATAAAACCTTGGCATTGTATTTTAATGAAGATAAATTTGTGAAGAAAATGTTTAAAGTGCTGTTTTTTTTTTCGAATTTAGTAATAATTTTAATCATTAATAAAAACCTGTTAACACAAAACGAATATTTCGCTTAAACATTGGCTTCTTTATTCTGAGTATAATTAAAGTATGAAAAACAAATATAGCAATGAAGTCTACTTTAAACGAAAAATTATATTATCTTAATGAGTGTTTTATTTACCTTGTTTTACGAACATGACCTTTGTAGGCCTACAACGTAATCGCTTACTAAATATAGATATTATAAATTAATTATTTCCAAGTTTTATTTCAATTTTTTTAAAAATCACAATAATAAACTTTAAAAGATACTTCTAAAATAATTAATCTTGTAAAAAAAGAAATTGTTAAGTTATGGGAGTTCAGCGAATTGAAATTTTATCAATGTCATATTTTAATAACACTTGCATTTTATAGATATTTAAATATATGTTAATATAAATAAAGTAAACAAGGACAAGAAAAGCTGTCTCCGTACAAGATGATTTTTTTTTTATGTCTCTTCTTTAAACAACTTTCATTTACTCAAAGAAACAAAGATAAAAATACTGTCATCTTCGCAGCTGGTTTTATTTTTACCTAGGACGCTCATGTTTACATTTAAAAATGCGTGTTGCGTGTCTGGCTCACGCGTTTTCCCTAATAGAGAAACGAGGGCAGGGACGGATGTTCTAAAATTAGAACAGTCTTGTTTACAGCAACGAGTCCATTGTGCACAAATTCTACGTAGATATTTAACACATTAGTTAAATAATTAGAGCAAAACGTAGCCAACGCGGCTAATATTAATATATAATTTATATTATCTTGGGGTTTCGGCTAAAATCTAAAAAACTGTCATTGCTGAGCTATGGACGTTTTGTAAAATAACGAATTAAGAAAATGTATCAAAATAAAGTAAAATAATCTATGTAAAAATCAACAGTGTGTAATGTAATGGTCAATGTGCGTTTGTTATTGTGGTTGACTTTCTGAGTAAAGTTGTATCATGCCAATCTAAGCAAAGCTAATAAAAGAAAAGAAAAAGAAAGAAAATTGAGATTTGCAACGACGTTAAATATTCACAAACTCGAATGAAATCAAATGATAACAACATATTAGTATATAAATACATTTTTATTCTCTTTTATGAATCTGTAATACTATTGTAAAGGCTTACATTGCCATAATTGCAAACAAAATATTTAATTAGATATTTCTAATTCAAAAATTAATTTTAAGTATTTAATTTAAAGATGGAAAAATTATTATAATGACTTTACTGTGAAATAAATACATAATACAAAAAGGTATATCCCTTAATACAGTGAGTTAATTTTTATTATCAAATAAACTTATTTATGTATCTATTATACATTTTTAATTGTTTATATTTTCATTATTTATTTGCTATTTCAAAAGTAATTTTTTTTATTTCAGAATCTCAAAAGGTTTAGGTCCATGACATTGTTCCTCAAGCCATGCTTTAACATCGTATATTTTGGGTTTCACAATTTCATCCCTAATCTTGTTACAAACAGAACAGTAAACATTTGGAGTTTTTACAAACTGGTATTGATCTTTATTCCTAAGAAAGGTGCTATACCCATCTAAATCTGCACTCAAATTTCTAAGATAAATAGCCAAATCTTTAGGCGACTCAAAGTTGTTTGCATCAATAAATGTACCACCAGGTATACTTTGTGCATAGTTAGCGCCACCTCTAACAACTGGTACTGTATTAACATTAGGTACAAATATTCGAAACAGTTTTTCAGTAATGTAATCCTTACATATTGAATTTTCAAAAGATAAGAAAAACTTGTATTGATTGATTACGTTTGGCAAGCACATACTGTTTACGTTTGTCCCTCGGCAAATACTTATGTTGCTGCAACGACCAAATATATCCACATCGATGTATTTCTATGGAAAATGGAAGGAATATATAAGTATTAAATCAATATAGTACCAAACTTCGATATACTTTGCAGTGAAAGGGGATGAATGAGGTGAATTGTGTTGTTACTTGGTACTCTATCCCGTTCCTCTTTGTTCAGTTCGCGTGCTGTGAGTTGTAATAGTCCGGTTTGTACCAGTTTATGAAAGGGTATATAAGGTGTACGAAAACGTGTCAGATAGCCTAATTTTTGTCCAGATCTCCAAGGTTAGTACAGGTTAGGTTTAGACTAGTTTTTAGCCACTGTATCTTAGTTTACTAGATTGTGTATTTTGTGTTTAGACTAGACTGTGTTATGTGTAGCTAGTGTATATACTATTAAAATCTTTTAGTTTTCAACGAGCCTTTGTTTCATTCAGTCTTGTTTTGTAACCCGTTTGTGGTTGTTTGTCTTGTATATTGCGCTAAGCATCGGATCACCCGAAAGGCGTATCAGTGTGTTCACAACAACTTCCATACACGATACCTAAAACATGCAGTGTGTGATAATTCTATCGAGAAAAATCCGAAATAAAAAATATAGAATGTTTTTTAACAAGATGCAAAGTAGGGACATGTTTAATAAAGAATGAACACACCCCTTACAGCAAAAACAATATTAGATTTAAATAAGAATACAACACATTAAAAAAAAGTTAATAAAAAGTCTAGTGACAATTTAAGCGCAATTTCCTTAATTAAATTTTTAGAATTCACAGACCTACGTAAAAATAGAAAAAATCCTTTCGAACCTCCGCTCATTCGCTATGGTAAAATCCTTTCAAACCTCAGCGCTTTGCGCTAAAAATAAAAAAAAATAGAAAAAATCCTTTCGAACCTCCGCTCATTCGCTATGGTAAAATCATTTCGAACCTCAGCGCTTTGCGCTAAATTATCCTAGGCCTACACGATGCTCAGTTTAAAAATTCTTAATTAATTTTTTGTGGCCGAACGAAAGGATATTTTTGAAAACTTTCTTCCATCCATCCATCCATCCATCCATCCATCCATCCATCCATCCATCCATCCATCCATCCATCCATCCATCCATCCATCCATCCATCCATCCATCCATCCATCCATCCATCCATCCATCCATCCATCCATCCATCCATCCATCCATCCATCCATCCATCCATCCATCCATCCATCCATCCATCCATCCATCCATCCATCCATCCATCCATCCATCCATCCATCCATCCATCCATCCATCCATCCATCCATCCATCCATCCATCCATCCATCCATCCATCCATCCATCCATCCATCCATCCATCCATCCATCCATCCATCCATCCATCCATCCATCCATCCATCCATCCATCCATCCATCCATCCATCCATCCATCCATCCATCCATCCATCCATCCATCCATCCATCCATCCATCCATCCATCCATCCATCCATCCATCCATCCATCCATCCATCCATCCATCCATCCATCCATCCATCCATCCATCCATCCATCCATCGTAACGTAACGTAACGTAACTTAACTTAACTTAACTTAACTTAACTTAACTTAACTTAACTTAACTTTAACTTTAACTTTAACTTAACTTAACTTAACTTAACTTAACTTAACTTAACTTAACTTAACTTAACTTAACTTAACTTAACTTAACTTAACTTAACTTAACTTAACTTAACTTAACTTAACTTAACTTAATCTTAACGTAACTTAACTTAACTTTAACTTTAACTTAACTTAACTTAATCTTAACGTAACTTAACTTAACAATGCAACTTAACATAGCTTAAACGGGAAATGGCATTTCCATTGCAATCTGGACATATAATAATGTTTTTTATCATTTAGTGTTAATAACTTAATTTTTATCACTTTTCTAATTACATATATATATTCAAATATGGATGTTTGAGAAAATATACCTAAATCTAACTCTTACTCTAAATTTAACACTAACTCTAACCAACCCAAGACCAAAATACAAACACAAAACCAAAACCAAAAAAAAAAAACCACAAAAACAAACGCAGACGTAATGCAAACACCAACAAAAACGAAAACGCAAACACGAACCCAAGCGCAAAAACAAATCGAAACACAAACTTAAACGCAAACACAAAAGCGAAAACAATCAGAATCACAAACATAAACACAAAAACAAACATAAACATAAACATACACGAAAATGTATCGCAAACGCAAAGGCAAAAGCAAAACAACGACAACTACAAATCTAAACACAAACACAATGCAAACACAAACGCAAACACAAAAGTGCTATGTCATCGAGTTTTGACTTACGTAAACAGTTTGAAACAAGTTGTCGTTTTGAAGAAATACTTTTATACTTTTATAACAGTATAACATGGCTAAGTTGTTCCAGCGCCGAAACGTTACACAATATCAAAATGTGTCAAAATATCGATTTAGATTTTCGCAGGATTATTATGCATCATTTATATTCCGCCTATAATATAATGGTTAAGGTACAGAACGGCGAAAAGCATTACTATTTCATTTATTTTTTCTCTACGATTATAAAACTTTCTCTATACTCTGTATACAATAATGTGAAGACAAGGTATCCAAAGAAATAGAGCTACATAATTTAGTTTTATTCCGTTTTGATTAAATAGGCAACAAAATTTGAAATATTAAAAAAATGTAATCATACTTAAAATAATAACGTACCTAAAGCTACTATTAAAAGCAGTTAGGGGATAAAATCTTTGCACTTACTTGCATTTCTGAAACATAACGTTCACGCCTAGATTGAGTTTTACAATGGCTTACAATCCATAAAACTGTCTTGTTCTTTCCTTTCGCTAGTTCCACTGAAAAAAGAATTATATATATATATGCATATATATATATATATATATATATATATATATATATATATATATATATATATATATATATATATATACATATATATATATATATATGTATGTATATAAATGTACATATATAGAGAGATAGATAGTCATTCACTCTCATATTATTGGGAAAACTAGAACCATATCATTAATCACTCTTTAAATAACCAGTATATTATCCATTGGATACCATTACAAATATTTTTCGTTATAGTTATTTAAATGGTAGTGTATTATTATATATTTAAAGAAAAAATTATTATTTTCAACTAATTAATGAATCATTACATAAAAGTTTATTGTTAAAACGTTTTCATACATTTTCTCCAGTAATTTGCAATTTTTAACACAAAAGAGTTTCATAACTAAAACCATGACCATGTGTTGATAATAGTGCGGATTAGTGTTAATGGGACACCCTACTAATTTCATAAAATGTATTAATTCATAAAAAAATTAATTAGGCATCCAAATAATTCAAATTTAATGTCATAGTTTGTCCACACTACCACCGAGATGCCCCATCTTAATTGTTGGCAGGGGCGGAACTACAATTAGGGGTGCTAATCAGCTCTTTTTAATAGATTGGTACCAAACAAATTAAAAACAATTACTTCTCTTAGTGATAATTTTTTTATAAAGTACTTACTAAAGAATGAAATTGTATAAAAAGGAAATGATTTTAAAATTAATAATATAAATACCAAGAAAACCTAAAAATAAACATAACACGAGACACCATTACTTATACAAAGCTTTCATGTTTTATATTCTTTTGACCGACTAGAGGTTAGGATGTCTTATAGCAGAGATAAAAATAAAATAAAACTGATTTTCCAAACACACTATGGGACACGGCTTCCGGCTGATGGCCCTAATACAGCGAGACTGAAGATTCAAATAGTACTGTCTGTGCAGGACACCCAATAAATGGGGCACAATGTTCCATTATAACCACTGTGGATTATGTGCGCTCAACTACACATTTCAGTGGGAAACCGTCACTCCAATATTTCAACAAATGCTAAGCCTATGACAGAAACATATGCGGTGGTGTAGGCCTACTCAAACTCTTCCCAATATTCACATGTTCTGTTGTTTGTGCCCAGCTTACGCGAAGGAATCTTTCTGATTTACGGGACATCCATAAATGACGGCATGCTTTTTTTTAAGGCTAACAAAATGCCAGGCCCTCACCCCAAAATGACATCATTTATTAACAATATTAATTGATTATTAATGTTCAATTACTTCATGTACTAATAATCTAAAGATAGTCTTACCTTCCTTGTTTTAGGAATGAGATTCATCAAACTAATTAATAATATGATATAAAAGGAATATTCGCTGCCTAGTGTCTGATAAAATGTGAGAAATGGAGAATGTAAGGAAGTAGGAAGTTGGAAATTCGCAAACGATTCATTTATCTATTTGCAACTCGTGAGGCTATGAATAGGGGGGGGGGAGGGTTGGGAAGAGGGGAGCTGCGAAAGGAACTTTAAAGGGACTAACAAAGAGCCAAATTGCTTTTATCCATGTGTACCGAAGTTGGGATGGTCTCATTTTTTTCATGAGCCTATTGTAAGACACTCAAGGGAGAGAATTCAAATTTTATACGTTAACTATCACATTTTTTAAACCCTTTATCTACTTACGGTACTTATAAGTACCACTTTAATTAAGCGCCTGTATTTTTAAAATTATTGATGTTATTAATATTATTATCTCCACTGAGTCGCCGTTAGTTGGAGGGATCCATGTTTTTTGAAAATTTCTGGTGTGGCGCCAATTTCAATGTCTTGCTATATCGGTAGTTCCCAATTGTTCTGTACAGTTCTCACTCACGTTCCTGATTTCCCTTTGTTTTACCTTATTCTTGAACTTTTCATCCCCAAATATTTTTTTATTGGCACCTACAATGGTAGCAGTTGCAGGCTCGTTTTATATACTAGGTTTAGTATACTTTATTTGGATACCAAAGCCTAGTTATAGTAGTAAGATTTTATTTGTTATTTATCTTTACTGCAATAGACTGTCTTGCCTTAAATAACTAGCATTTACGTAATGTATATCTGTAGACTAGTAATAGTCCATAGTTCTGAGTATACTATAGATCTATATGTTAAATTTTAATCAGTAAACTCTGAATAAACAGAAAACAGTAGGCCACTACGGCTATCACAAAATGAGCTCACTTCTATTTATGAACTTTACACTGTAGTGTAGACTTGACATAACATTCTAGTAGGCTAGAATTATACTAGTATTTCTAGTAGTTGTGTTTTGAATGACTAGGCTCTTGTTTGTTTATGCGGCTCATTGTAATACCTATTGGAAGCTTCCAGCAAAAGCATGTTCAATCCGGCAACCGCTGCAACACCAGAAAGAACACAAACAAGAATGAGGGAGCATGACATGTCGGCAACTTTTGCTGTGTTTGAAATCTAAGATGTGTTCCGATAGAAAATCCAGTAAAAGTCATAATCATCAAAATATACTTTTGTGCTGTATTTATGTGGCGAAAATTACAAATAATGATTGTTATAATGATTGTCATGTTATTAGTTAATAAATTGTATCGTTTGGTCCTGTTTTGTAAAAAAAAACAATTTTGAAAAAAATGTCCTACATTCCTGACGGTACTTATAAGTACCAATATCTGTTTGGGGCATTAAAAAATTATGAAACGAAATTTCCTTCGACATATGCTTTGAATGTGCCAAAAGCAATTTGATAACACACTGTTTAAGAAAAAAATTTCATTCAGAACCTAATTCCGTAAATTAAGGGTTATTAAAAAAAGTAAAAAAAAACCGGAAGTGATCTCCCCTAAAATTTCTCGAATATTCTTATATAATATGTATTCTTATATGGCAACTCGGGATATAGACAATACTTTTTAATCCATTTTTTAATACATAAACTTTTTTAAATAGAAAAGAATATCGTAGAAAAAAACTGCACACCAAGTGAACGCCAAACGAAATGTGTATAATAGTGGGGAATATTATTAGTACATTATAAATTCACATGCGTTTTTTGAGAAATCGGAAAAGTTAGAGAAAGATGACTCGGCTTTCACAATAGTTTAAAAACAAAGGGAAAAGAATATAGGCTACAAAAGCGTGGGATAGTGTCTATAGAAGAAAGATAATCCAACCGCAGTAGCTGCAGTATTCAATTTACAAACGAACAATCAGATCAAAATTGCACGAACATTACTTATAACTAAAAGCAATTAATTATGGTCGGCTGTAGGCCCTAAAAGGCCTGTCCCCCTCCCCACCCTCCCCGCCCCACTCCGCACTGCTATAGAGTGACCACCATAAAAATAATGCATTAAAATAATACATACAGTAATTTTGCTGCTTGACAAGAGAAACACTTTTGATAAACTGGTATGGCAGAAAAATGTCTGCATCGACTCGGTAATGGGCTGTCAGGTTGAAAGCGTATCTCCAATTTGAAGTAGCTACAAAAAATATGACATTTTTTATAGCATGCTACATACATTTAATAATTATAATAGTATAAATATAATCGTCCGGGTATTTCGCAAAAGCCACACACTTTGCTCCCCGGATAAGGGAGAAAGAAATGTCCGCTTATGTTATCGACATACAAAAAATTACATTCTATTGGTTTGTTTTAAAAGCAAATTAAATAGTGTTTTACTTTTTTCTAAAACAAAAAATAGGACCCAATTGTATTTCATGTCCATATAAATAACGTTGATACGAGTATTTTTTAAGTAAATTTATTCAAGAATCAATATTGCGTTTTGATACATAAAAATTGTAATGGTATAGAGACTAATTACAGAAAAATAATATTTAGATATAAGAAGATAGCATAACCGTAAAGTGCAAACTCACCATTCCACAAAGCGCTTGGTAAATTTGCTGGTGGCTCTGTATCCATCAACACGTACAGCTGACCCGGCCATCTTTGTGTTGGCCTCTGCCATTCCTTCAGGTGGAAGCCCATGACAAGCACGACGTCGGTGTCTTCTGTAACGTTGTCTTGATCAAAGACACAAGCGTTGTGGCAGCATTTAGGCACATCTTTCAAGTACGGCAGCAACCAATACACCGGGTTGACCAAATGAATGGAAATAGGCAAGCCGGATTTTCGTTTGGATTTCAGCTTATAATGTGGGTTATTAGGGTTTATATCCGTATTATTTGTTTCTCTACTACCAGTACAATGTACCATTAGCGAATAGTTTTCACCGGAAAGTAAATGTGTATACGCTACTTTAAAAGAGCTAGTGTTCGTAGTAATATTTGCTAAATCAATTTTCAAAAGAAATGAATTATTGTAATTTAGCATACGCTTATTTAACCTAAATTTGTATTGATTCGAACTAGTATGATACATATATAAAACAAAAGCTACTATAGCTGAAATGGTCCCAAGAATTACCAAAGCTATTTTAAATAAATTAAGCATTTTTTAAAATTCTTGATACTTTTTTTAGTGTAAGATTAAAATTCCTGTAAAAAATGTATACATAAATATAAGTATATATATATATATACATATATATATATATATATATATATATATATATATATATATATATATATATATATATATATATATATATGAGCTTTATAAATGTAGTCTTCTAGCAAATTTATAATTAACACATTAATAAAAAATGATGTGCCTCAACTGTAAGTGTGACAACTTTAAAGTGGAATTCCAATTCGGAAAAAAATATTTTATAACTGACAGTTAAAATTACGGCATTGAGATGTCGATCAACTTACGGTGATTAAAAAGTTGCTTTTCTAAATTTCAAAAATTATTATTAGAAAATAATTTGATAGCTTAAATAAATACTGAGGATTTTTTAAATGATAAATCTAATCACAGAAACCTATCCTGACAAATAACGTTTTTCTTTCCACGAACTGAAACGTGAATTAAGTTATCGACATTATAAATAAAGTAAATAAGTAGCACTTCTTGATATGAAACTTTTTAGCAATTTCCGTTAAACGGAAGCGGTACTTATGTCATGCCCAATTTCTCAAAAATGTTGTAAGTAATTTTTTATTAAGTAAGCTTAATATAAGAACATTTTGCCTCTATGTGCAGTCTCTAAGCGGTTTTAACACACTTACTAAACCGCTATTTCTATAATCCAATTTCACCGAATAGCCATCCCAAACCTTACTGTTATTCATGAATATACGAAAACATTTAAGGGGAGCACTCTTTCGTTTTTTTAGGTGGATGAATCTTATTTTCCCTTAAAATTTACATATTTAAAAAAAATACAAGGAATATATAGGTTATTCGTGGAATGAAAGGGAAGAGAAAACAATGAATTAAATACCAAAATTAACTTTTTCAAAAAGAAATCTAATAATATCCATGTAAATGTATAAAAAAATCATGGCACATTAACAAAGAGTTATATGTTGTAAAACCTTAGGATTAACGCAGCTTTAAATGAGGTATTTAATTTGATATCAATACGAAATAAAATTGAGGATAACCGCCAGCAGCAATGTCACTGGTCACTTCTACATAAGATTAGTGCAATATATATCTATTTGTTTACCTTAAACATTTTAAAACTGTTTTCTGACTACTATCAAAACTTATATAATAGTAAATCGAGAGAGGTCGGGTGAGGCAGAGGCGTAGCGATAGGGGGAGGGGGTCAAGGGGGGGGGGGGGACATATGTCCCCGGGCGCCGACCTTAGGGGGCGCCAAAATGGGTTGTAAAAACAAATTAAAATGTTATTTTAGCTGCATTTTTTCAGTTTGACGGGGAGGGGGGTTGCAAATCGAAAGTTTGAGGGGAGGTGCAAATCGAAAAGTTGAGGGGGTGCAAATAATTGAAAATTTGCTCCCAAGGGGGGGCGCCAAATGGAAAGTTTGTCCCCGGGCGCCGGGAAGGGTCGCTACGCCTCTGGGGTGAGAAAAGGGAGTAGACTACAATTTTCACTTTATCGTTAAGTTAATTTATGTTTTACAGTTTAAAATCACTAAGTATGTATTATAAATCATACGATAATTTTGCCGCAAATCGGTATGTATCAACAGATACTTACCATAATCTAATTGAGAAATGTTTTACATTTACAAAATAAAAAAAAAAACATGTATTTACAAGGATCAATGATTGCAACAAATATAGATACATTGTTTTTTTAGTACCTGTATTTTTCGATAATATTACAAGTTTTAAATTAAGCTTTGATTGAACATTACTGTCCTACGCTGTGCTAAATTCGTAAATAGAGCCGTAACAATTGATCACTATTTTGAATTTTCTCCTTTCTCTCTCTCTCTCTCTCTCTCTCTCTCTCTCTATATATATATATATATATATATATATATATATAATTATATATATATATATATATATAATCCCCTTTATATATATATACACACACATACACACATATAAATATATATATATATATATATATATATATATATATATATATATATATATATATATATATATATATAAAATCCCCTTAATATATATGAATATATATATATATATATATATATATATATATATATATATATATATATATATATATATATATATATACACACATACACACACACACACATATATATATATATATATATATATATATATATATATATATATATATATATATCCTAATATATGCCCATGTGCGCATTTCTCTCTCCATCTCTGTTATCCATATATTATCCGAATTTATGAGATCTGTATCTTCAGCAATATATGGAGACCTTAAAGATACGGACTATTGTTGAAAATAATCTGTTGAATTTATTAGTTGTATCGAATAAATTTTATTTAAAGACAGAAAATAAAAATAAAGGCATTCGAATGAAGAATCATATTTAATTTTACAACCGTAGAAGTGTTTTTGGTTGTGATAAGAACGCTCTAGAGAAAAACAAACTATCCCAAAATCTATCACTAGCAAAAATAATGACGTCAGATGAAACAAGTGTATTTTGAAAAAATGTTAATAAAAAGTTTAAGACTGTCGTCATTGATTGTAGGATAAAAATATAATTAAAAATCGAATGTCGAAAATGATACACAATACTATGACGTCGTCTTCAATAAGATCCCACATCTTCTAATTTTAGTATATGAAGAAATTAGGTATTTTATTCAAAATGGAATTAGATCTATGGATTTACTTAACAAGACGGCCAAAACTAATATCAATTTCTTTAAAAAACAACATAACACCGTTGTACAGCCGGGTTTTTAGTGGAATTATTTTTTTTTAACTAGTGTGTGCAATTAATATGGTGTTGTGTTGTCAAATAATGTATATTACTTGGTTTAATTTTTCTAATAGGTATCGGTTATTTTAAATGTGCCGAATATTCTTGCTATTTAGTTGGGTTTTTTTGTGTTTTTTTTGCTTTATCATTAATGTCTTCAGCGTTTAGTAAAGCACACTGCGTTTTGACCAATTATAATTTTAAAAAATATATTTTTTAACAATTATAATCCTGGAATTCAAGTATAACTAGTACCGATGGCTAGTATATAAATATTTAGCATAACGCATACTTACAGAAGTGATTCGAAATTGAGTTGTCAATGTTTCTTTAAAATGTATCCCACGTCAAGAAAAAAAAAAACGCTAAGCGTGTATTTCACCATGGGAGTTTAAGGATTACACGTTATGTGAAATGCGAGATTGTGATAACTGGAGCGTAGGTCCACAGCGCTATAGAACTAAGCAGCTTTGTGTAGGTGTGTCTATATAGGTCATGGATGTATATAAATAGGTGTGTTGGTGAAATGCGAATGTATTTCTGTCTCTCCATGCCATGTATCAGTATTATATATTTTTATATATTTATATATATATATATATATATATATATATATATATATATATATATATATATATATATATATATATATATATATATATATATATACCTAGTCCTAGATGTAGACCTAGACCTAGCCCTAGAGTTGGACCTGGACTTGCACAATTGAGGAAACTGGCATGGAACATACTGGGTAACAAATCATTACATCCTGAAAAAACCAACACCAGCTATGTGAGACCTACGGCTTGGGGCTCAGTAGCTACATAAATATCAGCAAAATTGACAAAGTTCAAAACATTCGATTGATAAATGCAATGGAGGAAATAGTGGCTCCTAGCTAAATAGAAGAAAGAAGAAAATAAAAAATCCTCACCCAATACGCAAAGCTGGAGTCACTGGATAACCATAATCTAAACCAAAAACTCCAGATGCCCAGCCCATCAAACATACATCAAAGAACAAGTTTTATCAAAGAAGCCAAAAATCTAAAAAAGAAATATGAAATAGAAAACATCATTCCTGAAGCAATCAAAACTCAAAACCCATCCTCACCGTGGATCTCTCACCGTATATTAACCATGTTTGCCTCAATAGATACCATAAAAAATCTGACCACGATCAAGAAGAATTAAAGGAAATAACATATCAGTACATTAAAGAACAGTACCCCAGCAACACTTGGATTAGAGTACACAAATGGCTCAGCTGAAGATGCTACAAAAATGGCAGGGCTGGAGTCCTTATTGAATTGCCAAACGGAGAAAGCTTAGAAAAGTCAATAGCCACAGACAGCCTATCTGACATTTTTAGAGCAGATAAAGAAGCTTTAGAACATGCAGCAAACCTCCTGTCAGAACATCCCGAATTTCCAGATAGTCAGATAGTCTTTCTTACAGATGCAAAATCTTTCCAACACATAATCTTCGGACTCAGAACAGACAACAACAGACTAAAACAGCACATGCATAAAAAACTAAAATTGGGTATGGCGAAACTTGCCCATGTGGCATCGTCCCGGAGAATACAAAGAACGTCCTTTAGGACTGTTCCTTATATAGCCAGGCGCGATAAAAACACTGGCCCCTATACACCCCACTCAAGAAAAAACTATATGGGGCACCCGCGGATCATGAGACCACAGTCCAGTTTATACACGAAGTTGGTCTTGTTATTTAAATCCTCCACCATAAACTATAATAAGAACGCAGAAAAAGAAGAAGAAGAAATAAAGTCCGCCTTGATAAATAGATATATTTCTATCAACTTTGAATGAAATAGTTCATTTCTTAATATTCTAAAATTTGAAGATGACGCCATTAGTTTTGTGTACTTTCCGTCACTTTTGGGATGTGACGTCATAATTTTTTGCGTTCTTGTCACAACAATAAACACTTTTCCGGT